CAGAGGTAAGTATTATTGGAAATACATTTTCAATTTAGGAAAATGTTAACTTTTGTTTAAAATTAGTGTTTCGCTCTTTAATAAATTTAACTATGGTTTTACTAAGTTGCAATGTTTGTAAACTTGAATTGTTGTTGTTTTTTTGTTATGTTCATTAAATAAAATCATCATCAAATCAGATTTGTTTAGTTAAGTTTACTATTTAGTTAGTAAGGTAGGTGACTGCAAAATATTCTGATGATTCAAGTCTTTATTTAATATGAATTTTAATATTAAAAACTCACAATTTTTTAAAAAACAATAATTAATTTATACACACTATTCTATAAAAATGATATTGTTTCCAGTCTCCAAATTACTAAAATACAATAACTTACTGTACAGGATAAAAAAAGTGGTAAAAAAAACCTGATGAGACTGGAAAACAATCTCATACACTTCACATGTTTTGATGTATTCTATAGATGAAATTGAAACTAACTTGAAAAAATTAAATGATGAAAAAGCACATATTATTAGAAGTGAGTTTTGCACTTTATTAAATAATTTTAAGTTCGAAAATAATATTAAAAAGGACTTTGAAATTTTGAAAAATTTAAAGGAACAAGATATTATGATTTGCAAGGCTGACAAACTGTTATTCTTAATAAAAATGATTACGTTGAAAGATGGTCCATATGAGAACATTAAACTTAATCCTATATATAAACTACATACAATAGTTAAAGAAAAAATTAAGAGTTGTATAACTCTAACACCTTATGAAAAGCAAAATTTAATTCCCAGTAACTTTGTTTTACCTAGATTATATGCCTTGCCTAAAGTTCATAAGATTGATAATCATTTCAGACCTATTGTATCCAATATTAAGAGTTTAACTTATAATTTATATCTAAAAAATTATCATTTTTAAGGGATAAAAATACATATACAGTTAAGAATTCGTTTGAATTTCTGGAAAGAATTGAACATATAATTTTAGATCAAAAAGATATATTGATGTTGTTTGATATTCTGTCAAGGTTCACCAAAGTACCTGTGAAAAAAGCTATTGAACGGTTTTGAGAAAAAACTGAAAGAAAATAATAATTCAGTCTTAGGAATAATGGATATGATTAACCTGGTAGAAATATGTGTTGAAAACTCATTTTTCCAAATTAATAACAAAGTTTATAAACAGAACAAACGTTTACCTTTTGGTTCTCCTTTATCTCTGTTATTGTGTGATTTATTCATGGACAGTGAAGCACTAGAAAAATCAGCTAAAAACCTGAAGTTTTTGGTTAAGGTATACGGATGGCACATTTTTGATTTGGCTGTAGTGTAAAGATGAACTCGCTAATTTTGATAATTACCTTAATAACATTGATAATTCTATAAGATTTAGTTATGAAGTTGAGATTAATGGTTGTTTACTTTTTTGGATGTTTTAGTGAGTAAAAATAAGGATAATTTGGAAACTACCATTTATCGTAAACCTTTCTCTGTAATCATTCCGCCACATCAACAATCTTCTCACACTAAATTTCCAAAAATTATGTTGTAAACAGGATGATATTAATAATGTGTTATTATTAATCAAGCACTAGAAAGAGGTTTTTATCCTGATGTTATTGATAGAGCTGTCAAAAAAACTAAAAAATATTAAGTTAAACCATTTGCTGAAAAAAGTAAAAAAGAATGTTTGGTACTCTCATCTTGTCAAATAATGAAAAAAATTAAAAACAAATAAATATTTTCAATATGCAAACCGATAAACGAAGTTAGTCAAATGCTTAATACAATTAAAAATAAAATTGATTTAATGGAAAAATTTGGTATATATATAATATCATGTGAATGTGAAAAAGTTTATACAGGACAAACTAGAAGAAATTTAAAATTCAGAATGAAGTAACACAAAAAAAATGTTAAAAACAATAATATTACTATTTCACCTTTAGCAGAACATATTAGTGAAACTAAACACACAATTCAATGCACAACCTGGAAATCTAATTAGTGTGAACATATGTGAATCTATTGGAATAATTAAATGTAAAAAAAAAGTAAATTTAAATTATTGAATAAGGATGATGGACCTGACGGAAATTTTGTCAATAGATGGCATGAAATTCTTTAATATGTAAATTGATGATCTGGTAATTGTATAAATAAGTGTTATTTTTTGTTTCCAAAACATTACTCTCTTGAGGACGACGCAATAATTTACGTCAAAACATGTAGAGTGTATGAGACTGTTTTTCCAGTCTCATAGGGTTTTTTACTACTTTTTATCCTGAACAGTAAGTTATTTGTATTTTATTGTAATTTTGATAAATTGGAAACTACCATTTATTGTAAATCTTTCCCTGTAATCATTCCACCACATCAATAATCTTGTCAAACTGCATCTCAAAAAAACCTGTGTTTTTTACTCTTATGTGGACAGGATATTAAAATTATGTTGTAAACAGGTTTATATCTATGATAAGTTATTGTTAATTAAGTACACAGCAGTGGAAAGAGGTTTTAATCCAGATGTTGTTGACAGAGCTGTCATAAAACTAAAAAACAGGGATAAAAATATTAAGTTAAAACCATTTGCTGAAAAAAGTAAAAAAGAATGTTTAGTACTATCATATTTACCTGGTTTATCTTGTCAAATAATGAAACAATTTAAAAAATAAATAAATATTTTTCCGATGTACAAACCGATAAACAAAGTCAGCAAAATTCTTAATACAACTAAAGATAAAATTGATTTAATGGAAACATTTGGTATATGTAAAATATGTGAAAGTAAAAAAGTTTATATAGGACAAACTAGAAGAAATTTAAAATTCAGACTGAATTAACGTAAAAGAAATGTTATAAATAATAATATTACTATTTCATCTTTAGCAGAACATATTAGTGAAACTAATCATACAATTCAATGGGAAAAAAGTGTTATTTTAGCACATCCTGGAAATTTAATTAGTATGAGTATGCGTGAATCTATTGGGACAATTAAATGTAAAAAAATGTTGTCTGTAAATGGCATAAAATTCTTTAATATGTAAATTGTGATTTAATAATTTTATAAATAAGTGTTATTTTTGCAAAACACTTCTGAGAATGATGCAGTAGTATACTTTGAAACATGTAGAGTTTATGAGATTGTTTTCCAGTCTCATCAGGTTTTTTTACCACTTTTTATCCTGTACAGTAAGTTATTGTATTTTAGTAACTTGGAGACTGGAAACAATCTCATTTTTATAGATTTGTGTATAAAATAGTCATTGTTATTTAAAAATTGTGAGTTTTTAACATTGAACATAATACACATGTCAAAAAATGTTTAAAAATTACTTTTAATGTTTATTCCATAGAAGAAACATACATAAAGTGGCTGACTACTTAATTATTTTTAACTGCAACTATAATATGTTTTAAATACAAATGTTATTACTATTATTCATGATAGTAAAACATGTTTTTATTATTTTATTTACAGAAGATAAATGTAGGATTGCTGCATATTTTGTAAACAAACATAATGGCAACCATGTTGACATTAGCTATTTGTTTGCCAACTAAGAAATGTTCAGATTATCTTTTAAAAAATATTTTTTAGCCAAAAACAATGTTCCTCAAAATGAACAACCTGTGAATTTCTAACAGTATGGATAAAAATAGGAATATTAATATGATATTAGAATAATGCAGTAGTCCTGAAAAGTTATGGATTTAATATAAGTCCTTTTTCTTTTTTTTGCTTCTATGGGAAGGGGATTATAGGATACATCTATTATTTGATTGATCAGATGTAATGAATTAACCCTCTCGCTACATACTGTTCAAAGAGTGTATGTCATGACCTTCTAGAGAGTTATATTCAAAATTGAATTAAACGACTTTATTATCAATGTATGTCAATAAAATTGGCATCAAAACATAGTTTATAATTTGAAATTTAATATTATGTATGTTATGAGTTATTAATTAGAAAGAAAATATTAAAAACAAAGTGTTAACTATCCCTTTTGTGTGTCAGATTGCATGCCCTCTTGGCTTATTGCTCAGTTTATATTTTATTTTACCTACCATACAACATCTATAGTGGTTAATTAGAAACTCAAATTTCAGACCTAAGCTAAAATGTAAAATAAGAACCTCCAACTTTTTGATTTGCTGAGATAACAATATATTTAGCAAACCTAGGAGAGTGGCCTTTTCCACTAATCTATTCATTTAAAACCTCTTGTCTACTCACACCTGCTTTTTTTAAGTTGTTTATAATCAATAAAAAGAGCATATTCCAGACTATGTAAATCTGACAGTTGTTTGTAATTGGCTTGAAGGGAAAAGCCATAGTTTTACTCAAAATGTTGAAGTTTAATGACTAACTTGTTGTTCTGAACAGAAATGACATTTTTGTAATCCTTATATACCTTACTTAAAAAGTCAGAGAATAAACAAGCTTATGGTGAAGCTTAATAAGTACAACATGCAAATACAAATCAATTTTGTAAGATTAGAAATCATTGTTTTTCTATATACATTTTTATTTATTGTTGTATGTTTTATGAAATATAACAAAGTATTTATATATATGTTCATAAGCACTTACACACTTTTTACATCTTTCCTGCTAAATTCCAACTGGATGACTAACATCCAAATACAATCCAAGTTTATTGGATTGGCCCAGCCTTTGTACAGCACCATATCATAAACATTTTCTCACCCATTTTTTACAACTCCCATTACAACCACTGTAATCCAAACAAGCCAATAAATCCTCTCCCACTATGTTCTCAGAGCTAGAATTATGATGTGGGAAATTTTGGTAATTGTGCTGCACATACTTGTATGTCATATTATGATGTCACATAAACAGTCTAATGGCAGGAATAGTGATTCATGTTTGGTAGGTTTCTACTTCAGCTGCTAACAGTAAAATTTACATAGGAAATAATTGTGAAAAGTAGAAACTCTCTGGATAAGTATTTTATAATTTCATGGTCAATGTTAAAAAGGATAGAACAGTACTACTAATTTTATTTGAAATTTTGTAATTTTTTTTTCATTATACATTGATCACTTGTCAGAATCAAGTATGCCGTTATGGTAGAGAAAATAACAGATAAAATATAGTTTTTCTGAAAAAACAAAGTTTGATATTTATTTAGGAGATATTAGAGATTAATTTTCTGATGAAAAAAAGTATTTTTAAACTTAACATGTAAATCACTCGGATCAAACAACACTCTAACTCCATATATTGACAGACAAATTTTTAGTAAAAATACTTAATTAGAAATTCTGATTTTTTGTCAACTAAAGACTTGTCAGATTTCTAATTGAAATCAACTAACATTTCAATTTGGTATCCATACAGTCCTAAATGATCATAATAATATAATTTTTGTGTTTTTTTGCATGTAAAACACTAGTGTTAAATTATATGTAAAATGATTTTTCATACTTAACTGTTTTTATTTTCAGACATGTTTTATAGCATCATTCAAGATTTACTAGGTAGACATTTGCTAGTTTTAGAGACTTAACATTTATGATAGGTTAAACTATTTCTATTATTACAATTTTAATAACATTTATTGTAGGTTGTGATTTGTAGTGTAATGAAATATGTAATGTAATGAAGTATATCATTTTGCAGTTTACTCCATCTTACATTATTCCCCTCATAAATATTACATCAAAAACATTTCTGTATTAGATGTCGATTGTTCTTGGTCTCAACTAAAGCTGGGTCTTTAGGAACAAACCTTGTTGGAGCCAATCGTGTAATTATCATCGATACATCATGGAACCCTTCGCATGACACACAGGCTATCTTCAGGGTGTACAGATTTGGACAAAAGAAACCAGTTTATATTTATCGTTTTCTTGCTCAGGTATTATAAACTTTATAAATAATGTTTATTTGCAGTGATGGGGTATGGGTGATAATTGGTTTGGTAATTGTTAGTATAAAAATTTTTATATTTTTCAACTTTTTACACAGATGAGATATGTAGATACTTCATACCTTATTCCTACATGTAGAATTTGTCTTTTTTTTTTTATAGTCCTGGTTTAGAAATAACAGTAAATCCTGTGGAGGTCATGAGATAGTTCAACCATAGGTTTTACACATTCTGTAGGAGTGTTTGTTCAAGGAGGCTATCTTCTGTTTTATGGAATAATTTTATTGTATTCTACATCATCTCTTTTATATTTGTATGTACATACACAGAACTACATTATTACTGCCACATGGAGTGGAGATATCTTTGTGTTTGGTCAACTTCAGAGAGAATGAGGATAATAAAGCACTTTCAATTAGATTCATTTCTGATACTGAAATAGTCAAACTTGCTGTTAAGTTTCATCCTTGTTTTATTCTTTACAATATTTAGCATTCTCTCTCTCTCATCTTTAATGGGGAAAACTCCAGTGAAGTAGATAATGCACCAGACTTCTATTTTTACGTTTCTGTGATGAATGACTCGGGCTGACAATGTCTAACTCTAATTGATTGAAACTAGAGCTGGCTAAGGCTGATGACTGGCTCGTTTGGAAACTGACTTACATTACTATATTTTTGTTCTAGCTTCTACAAGTTCTCATTGTTATGTAGTTTGTAGGTGTGAGCTGAATGTAACAGGCTAGTTATCATGAGATTTATTAAAATAAGGGCTGGACTGTTTTTTCCTAGGGGATTTAGGAACTTTCTCACAAAAATTGTGTTACTTGTAAACCACTGCCATTCATTGCTATCAAGGAATACTTTGATGAATGATACTTTGTTTTCAATTGTTTATTAGTTGTGATATATCTGACACACTTCCAGTCTATTTCTCTCAGCAGAAACTCTTCATTTATGTTCACATCACACATCTTTTATTCTCATATCTCATCAAATGTTTACATTCCATCACTGAAATTGTGACACGATACAGTGTATTCTTTGATAGGTTGTTTAGGCAGAGTATTCATGATGAAAACGAAAGGTGGAAGACTTTCAAAACATCATCCTCTATACTCGTGTTTCTACAACAGGCAGTTTTATTGATGTATATGATATTATGTAGTTTTAATTAATTTTGTCAGGCAGAACATTATTCAACTTGACCCAACTGAACTGATGGTCATTTATTTATTTAAATGTCACTTTCTGAACATTTCTGTCTTTCTGTTTCTTTTCTATACTGACACAGAGTGTACTTTTCTGCAAATATATATATATATATATATATTTCAAACATGTAAGAAGTTATATGTGTCCTCGTTATTTTTTATACTTAACTTTTGTTCATATTCACTAGTTGTACGATTCTTCTTTTTTTATGGAATCTAGCCTGCACAGTCTGCTTATTGTAATCACTCTATTTGTTTCTGTAACATCTTTGCCTATTTTTTTAATTACCTCAGCCTTTAAGTAATATTTTATATTTCAATAAGATCACTTCTGAATGAAAATACTTTCCAAGTAAATTAATTTTTTTCACTTTCTTTAAGTATACTGATTTTAGTGCCATGCAACATCATAAATGATGCTGTATCCTATATATATGTAGTAAATATTGTGAGGTTTTTACTGAAATAGTTGGGTAACTTTTAGTGGCAGTTTCTATCTGTCTTTTAGCTTCTTTTGAACTCGGAGTGCTATGTTGAGTATTGTTTCTCACAATGGCCGAGAACCAGGTGTTTAGTCAGCACTCAACCAAACATGTCAGTAAATGTGTAAGTAGCAAAATGCTTAAGTTCTGAGATGATACCTCACAGATAATACTTTTATTCCTTGCATGTATGCCTGAGATTTGCTTGTCACTAGCCTTCAGTTAACTCCCACCTAAACTTCCCACTTTATCATAAACTTCACTAGTGCATCATGGCAACATGGTAACACAACCTCTTTGCGCAGTAACACCCCACAAGCTTTTGCACTCGAGATAACTTCAGCATTCTCTTGGAAAGACATTTTTCTTTTATAATTCAGTTCTGTGACATTTGCAATAGTTAACAAAACTTAAAGTTTGTTCTAGTTGAACTATTTCTTTCTTTTCTACAGTGTTGAAAAAAAAAATCTTTACATGAATTCTCATGTGACAGTAGCTTCTACTTTATCCTATGATGGTGACAGTGCTACTAACACAGGTCCTGTTTCTTCTATAGTTACTAAGGGCTTGTTATCTGTTGGAATGGTACAGTCATTGTACAATGTGTTGTGGTTTCCATCATGCATGCTGGGCCTTGTATTCTTGTCTGTTCAGCTGACATTTCATCTCCTCAATTTGACCATGAACAGGATCACAGTGATTTCAACTGGCTGTTTCCCCACCATTGTTTGCTTTAGATTTTTAAAAAATCCTTCTAACCTCTTTCCAGATATGATTTCTCTAATTTCCCTGGAATCATTCATTCCTTTGGGCTGTGGACACATGCACCTCCTCCAGTTGACATTTCAGTACCAATGGAATCTTTCTTGGGATCTGTTGTCCTCAATTGTGCACCTCCCTTTTTTTCTTTTTTTATGAAATTGTCCTGGTAGCTTGACCATACCAATACCATGGTGGGTGCTCTTTTGCTGGCCCAACTGGATCTCCATCTTTTCAGTAATGCTTGCCTGACAAGCTGGGGTACATCTCTGACCAGTGACATGTCTTCAGGCATGTGGGCTGTGGAGGAGCATTCACACTGCATCCATGTGTTTGAAATTCTCATGGTTTGACATGAATATAACCATTTCGTACCCCCTTCTCATGGATTGGTTGGTTATGATTCACTCCAACAATTCCACAGTTGTCTTTTATATTAACCATCAAGGGGTTACCTGTTCCAGGACTCTGCTTCTAGACATTGGACCTGCTATTTTGGGCTCAGTCCTGTCAAGTACATCTCATAGCTCATCATGTGCCAGGGCTCTGAACCTGGTGGTGGATTGCCTCTCTTAGCCAGACTGGTTACTTCTCATGGAGTGGTTCCTCATTTCTCTGCCCTCATGTTTTTTTGTTGTATTTTCTCACAGTTGGGTACTCCCCTCATCTTTGCCTTTGTCACTCCTATTAACACAAGACTTCTGCTCCTCTGGTCACCATTTCCTCATTTCTAAGCTCTAGCAGTCGATGCTCTTAGGCAGGACTGGTCTTACCTTTGCCTCCACCCTCTTGTCCTTGACTTGATACACGACACTTGTTGTTGGGTCATGTTGGTGGCACATATTTTGCCTGCACAACCCTGGCATCTTCTCCTTTGTCAGTTGGTGAACATGTCCTCTCTTCCTCTGCCCAGTTCCCCCCTCTCTTGCTCCAACCTCATGTCTCTTTTTCAACCAGAGGTGTTGCTCTTTCATCTTCATATGTGGAGTTGTCCAGTCCATCGCTCTCCAAGCCAGCCTCTCTGATCCAGTAGCCTTCTTCTTATCTCATTGTCATCCTTCAGCTTTGTCTGTCAACAAAAATGATGAGTTTTTAAATGTTGTCCCATCTGCCACTCCTTTCCTCCAGGCCATACTACAGTAGACCTCCTTTTAGCTTTTTTCACATGATTGTTTGACCATGGATTTGTAGTCTCCACCATATCTGAATATCGGGTAAGTTTATCCGCATTTTGCCTTTCCTGTCCTCTCCACCTTGTTCTGGTTCTTCCTTCTTTTCCAACCCCCTTGTTTGACTCCCATGCTTGACTGGGATCTTAATGTGGACTCTCACACATGCCACATTCGAGCTGTTGGCTTCGTGTTCTTTATATCATCTTTCTCTTAAAACATACTTCCTTCTTCTTCTCACCTGTGGTCACCATCATTCAGATGTCTATGCCATTGATGCTTCCCACACTCTCACCATACTTCTATACCCAGATCAGGCCTTTTTCCAAAGACTTTAGATTCTCAGGAGAGAGAACATATTTTCTCTCCTACTTCCCTATTTTCTGTTTTTTCACCTTTATGCTCATTCAGATTTGGATCACCTCCTGTGTCTGGTCCATGCTTTTTGGTATTATGTGGCATGGATATCATCTTTTCAAGGTTCCTGCCATCATTTGTTTCTACCATGGGACCCCCATCTTCATCCAGGGATCTCTTACCTTCTATTCTGACTGGATGGCTCTGTAAGCTCCTCTGGTTGGTGTATTCTTCCCTGGATCTTGATGCTCACAGGCTTTTTCACATTTCATCACATGAAACTTGTTACCTGTATTACTCTCTTGTGTCTAATTTTTACCAGTCCTCGGATGAAATCTTGCAAGCACATGTGGATAACTTCTCACACATCCATCTTTACCATCTGGCTGTTTTGTTTCATGTGGGATTTTTGCACCCCCTGTCTCTGTTCTTCAACTTACTCTCAGTCTTTTAAAAAAGAAAATACATTTTCTTTTCCGTGCTCTTTTCCCTTTTGTCAGATCCCACCAAGTGGCTGCTGTTGCCTCCCAGGTTATAAATATTTCCCACAGTCTGCACCAGGCCAGGAGTAACATAAAGCACTCAACCCATCAACCCTGGCTCTACCAGTATCTACTGTCAAGATTGAGTGTTCTGCAAGACTGCTAGAGATATTATCATGGTATTCACACTACTTTGTTGCTTGATCCAGACCATACCATTACACAGACTATCATAGAAAAAGCTGGCACCAGAGAAGTGTCTACCCACTTCTTTGGCTTATGCTTGCCAGGTTTTAAAAATAGGGTTTCATGGTCACCCATTGCACTGTCTCCAGTAAAAGACCTTTCCAGGAGATGTCTGCTGGGGACCCAAGGCACTTCTCCTAGTCTCCCCACTGCATATTCTCCCTCTTCTTCCAATGGAGCACAGGAGACCCTTACCAGTTCCTAGCTGCTGGGGTGATGGACATTGGAAGGTTCCTCACTGTTGTGCACGGCACCGGTTGGAAATAGGGCTGTGGTCACAATGTCTGTGTAGTGCGGGTCACCTGTTTTGCCTTTGTTTTCTTTCAGGAAAAGAGTATACCTGGTTGAGATGAGGTTTCCCATGGGTATACCCCTATGGAGCCCCTGCCATCAGGTGTCACAATCCATGGGCTTTTCCTTTGGGTGTTTTATAAAGGTAGGTCATATAGCTCCTCCATCACTTCAGTGTGGGAATCCAGCTGTTATATGTGAGGGGGTGAGGTATTGTCTCGGAAATTAACTTTTTCCTTATCCAAAAATGTATTTCAAATAGGTACTTGCCTCTAAACACCTTCTCATGCATTCTTTCCACTTTTGGTGCATTTTCTTCTTCCCTCGTCTAAGCATGAAGTTATCCTGAGTACAATTGCTTAAGGGGAGTTACTGCAAAATGAGGTTGTGTAGCCCTCATAATGGTGCAGAGTTATTGTCATTGTGCACTAGCGCAGTTCACATTAAAGATGTTATTTTTTAGGTGAAACAACACTAGTGGCATGCATAGACAGATGTGCAAGGAATGAAGCTATTCTGTGAGGTATGTGAGAGATGTACCCACCATGTACAGTCTGATGATGCACCCTAGCTACACTACACAAATAGTACTTCTGTGAGCCTGATTCAGGTTCTGAAATGTCCTAGTATTTTCCACCAGTTTTAGTGACATGTCTCTGCTTTACGAGCAAAGAGTGTTACCTGGTAAATATAAGGTATAACCTTCCACACACGTGTCCATGTGTTGCACCCCATGGATTCCATTTGGGTACTACTCGAAGGGATCTGATCTAGTTAAATTTTGCACTAGTCTCTCCTTCACTTCAATGTGGGGTTCTAATTAGATCTGAGTGGAAGTTATGTATTGTATCAGAAGTTAACATTTTCCTACACTTAAAATGTATTTCCAGTAAATACTTACCTCCTTTCACACTTCTCACCCATCCTCCCCACTTCTGGTGCATCTTTTCATGCCTAATCTTGAAGTGATGATTGAACAATCAATATAGAGGGATCCAGCTGTTCTAGGAGGGTATGTTGCACTCCATTGGTGGAGGGTTATCACATGCTCATTTGCTTGCAACAATGCAGCAATATTATGCAGAAATGCTTGATTTTTTGGAGGGAGTTTCAAGGCTAATGGTGAGTGAAAAGTTTGCATATAGAGGGAAGCACTGAACCCAGAAAGATATATGCGATAGGAGGTAAGTGTCTATTGGAAATTTATTTTCAGTCTTGGAAAATGTTAATGTAGAAAAGCTTACAAGGCTAAAGTTGGGCAGACCACAAACAGCCCATTATGTAACTTTGTGCTTAATAACAAACTAACATAATATAAATATTTTGATTATTTGGATAGTTGAAATAATTGAAAATAGTACTAAAAAGAAACTAATTTAGATTAGTCGGTTATTTTTATGACATTAAATTGAATCATAATTTTGATTAATCAGTTGTTGAAATAATAATAAAAAATAAGAAGCACTAATTTAGATTAATCGATTAATTTATGTGACATTAATCAATATAATTGCTGCTAATGAATAATTTATTAAATCCCTCAGTTCTAACATATAGTATTTTTTTTTTACAAAGATCTCTGTAATGGTGATGTTTGTTAGTCACAGATTTATATATATACCTTTATTTGTGTGAACATTTAGAGTATGCTGTGATTTGTATATTGATGATATGTAAACCATACATCTTAATTTATTTTTCAAATGTTACAGAACACAGTTT